TGTCCATTTTGTGAAGTTTAAACCAGCTTTTTTTTATTGAAATGAAAGTATTGTCATGGCAATTAATTTGAGCAGCAGGCCCAGTTTTTTTGAAACAAATTTATGAAAAAAACATTAAGTGTTTTTTTAGTTCATATTTGAACAAAATTATTATATTTGGTGATAAAATAGGCCAGAAGAAAACTTTTTTTTAACTTTTACTGAATTTAGGTCTGGATGGAAAAAAATTGCGAGCCATTTTTTCAGCACTGATAATTTATTAGATCTTTGGGGAATCCAATCAATATTGATAGAGCATTAATAAGAAATGGCACTTTTTCATCTGAGAATTTTTAATTAACGAAAAACTGGCGGAAAAAAACTCATTCTATGCTATGTTTACCCAATTTGTAGGTTGATGGAAAAAAACTCTAAATCTAATCGAAGAATTATTTTATCATCACAATTTCAATACGCTACAATTCAAACAATTTTTTAAAGTTAGGGCTGAGCGATTGAAATTAGATACTTCGCGGAACTCGTTGCTTAAAAAATCAAATCTTATCAGTTTTTTGTCAAGTTCGAAATTGAAGCCTGTAAAATTTTGATTACACTACGAGATTCTTTTTAAAATTTTGCCCAAAAAATTAAATGAAAACATCAATTTAAAGAAAGTGTGATTGTGTTATTTGCGCAAAAACAACTTTTTGGCAATGTGTTTAATTCTACAACGGGACTTTAAAAAATTGATAAAAAACTTTTAGCTCTTCCATGGCTATAACTACTTTTTAAAATACATTAATGATGAGGATTTTTAATGGAGATAGATGTTTCTAGTCGTTAAAAAATGCCTATGATTACAGTATTCGGATTTCAAATTTTCAAACTTTTAAATTAAAATAAAAAGTTGAAAAACCAGAGCAAGGTTTGTTGAGAGTAGTCAACGCATTTTGCTGAGTTTTGCTAGATTGTTCAACGTATTAAAACATTTTTCTCAGATTATTTTTAGTGACAAAAAAGACTTGATTGTTTTGATGAAAATAATTTTGTCTCAGAGAAAGTTGCACAATATCTCTCAAGTCTGCCACCTTCGATTTGCATAAAATTCGCCTTCACCAATTTTTTGAAATCTGTGTCATTTTTTTAATGATCTGAAAACTTTCTACTAGCTCTACTGGTAAACCAATCGTTACATAAAAGCTTAATAATTGTTTATAAAATCAGTTTTTTTGGCGTGATTAAAAACCAGCGAGACAAAAATGAATGATCAATATTTCAGTCAAATGAGTCATGGCTCAGAGAAGTCCACGGGCCTTGCAATGTTGCTTGCAGTTTTAGAGAAAATTTTCTCGGAATAATTTCAGTGACAATGAAAGTCTAGTTAAATTTGCTGAAAAAAGTTTTGTATAGAAAGTTGGGCAATAACACATTTGAGGCACCCTGAGTCTTCGAAAAAATCGCCTTGCACCGAATTTTTTTGAACCTTTTTTGAGTTTTCTCAATGAGCTTAAAACTTCTACTAGCTCTACGAGTGAACTAATCTTTACATGAAATCTTAGTATTTCTCCTTATAATCCATTTTTTTACCGTGGTTAAATACAAGCGAGACGAAACTGAATTATCAACTTTTCTTTTAATTGATATTTCATTGAAAATGTTTTTGAGCCAGACAAAAATTTCAAGATGTCATATAATAGATTTTTTAATTTCGTGGAAATTGTCCTTAGAATAATTTCAGTGACGAAAAAGGCTAATTTGTTTGCTGAAGCTAATTTCTTATAGAAAAATGGACAAAAATTCATTTTTGTTACTTTGATTCTTCGGAAATTTCAACTTTCATCACGTTTTTTGATATATGTCCCAAGTTTTTTTTAATGATTAGAAAAATTTTACTAGCTCTATCGGTAAACCAACCTCCACATAAAATCTTAGTTTTTCTTCCTAAAATCAAATGGAATTGTCGTGATTAGATACAAGCGAGGTAGAAACGATTGATCAATGCTTCATTAAAATGATTTTTTAATATTCATTTGAATCAACAAAAAATCATGATCAAAGACCAGTTGCGGATATCAGTGCACAGAAGTAGTTTCAACTTGATGGAGGATAATTATTCAAAGCTTTCAATGGTGTTTGGTGCAGTAAGAGACATATTTGATTTAATAAATCAAAGAAGCCTCTAAAAACAGGCTAGATAGAATTGTTATGGCCCTCTCTCAAGTGATAGTATAATTAAAACAACTCCCAAATTATATTTTGTCGTGAATTAATACAAGCGGGACAAAAATGGATGATCAAAGTTCATTAAAACCATTTTTTAGTATTTTTTTAAATTAAAAAAATATCACAGATAGTGCACAGAAGTTCATAGAAGAGAATAATTTGATGCCTTGGGGTACAATCTTGCGGAACAAAAAGTTTTTTCGTATTTTACTTTCAATTCCCATGATTTCAAAATTTGTGTTGCAGTTAAGCAGTAAAGTTTTTGAATGGTTTGAAAAATTTTTGCTAGCTCTATGGGTGAGCCATTCTTTATCTAAAATTTCAATATTTCTTCTGAAAATCAATTTGTTTTGAGTGGTTAAAACGAATGATAAATATTTCAAGATTTTTTCTTTAGCATTCATTGGAATCAACTCAAAAGTTCATGATCAAAAAATAGTTGCCGATATCAGTTCACAGAAGTATGCCAATTTGATGGAAAATATTTAATCGAGGCCTTTTAATACTAATTTGCGGGACAAAAAAATTGCTTTAAATTTTCTTTCTGTTCCCATGTGCACAATTTTGATGGTGACCGGTGCAATATTTGGTTTATGAAACAGCTTAGGTAAAAACAACTTGTCTGAAACAATTTTGGCGCTCTTTTAAGTGGTACTATAAACAACCTCAAAACTTTTTTCGTATTTTTATAATTAATAACCTTTCACAATCTTTATTTTTATAAACACCTGAAAACCAAGAATAATGATTATTCTGATTGTTCCATTTGTAGACGATTGTTTAGTTTTTGAAAAAAGCGAAAAAAAACATACGAGGAGTGATTTTTCTAATTAGACTAATTTCCTATAAAATAGTTTGGTAAGCCTCAAGATTGTGCGGCTGGCTTAATTTATATAAATTTCAAGACGCGCGTTATATGTCCGTGGTTATTTATTCTGCTCTCAAAAATTAGTCCCAGGTGGTCTTAACAATTCCTTCAGGCCTATTTTTAGCTCTTAACAATTGACTTCGGTAATCCATATTTTATAGTAAATCCAAACTTTGTCTGACGAAAGATATTCGAGACCAGTTAAGAGGCAGTCAGGACATTCAGAGTTTCGCCCTGATAATCGAGCAGTCTTGGGATTTAGTTTTCATGAAATATGCCCTGAAGGAGCTGTAAATGATCATTTTTAATCATAATCGGGTGTCAGATTAACGTGGTTTTATGCAAAACGCGTGAAATTCTGATTAGAGTTCACATAAAATTCTTTGAAAAACAAAGCGGTCTTATAATGTTTTAAGTAGTGCTTGAGATTTGCCGAGGTTTTAGAATGAAAACTTGGTTGTTTGAACAATAAGTAAATTGTTTTAGAGTTGAATAATTAGTTGCTTGAATCACTTTTATGCTTGGTTTCGAATAAATACTTGGTTTCGAATAAATACTTGAAATAGGAAGTTTATCCTGAATGAACGCGAGTTTAAGTTGAATAAAGATTATCTAGTAAACAGTATAGATATCAGAAGAGAATGATCACGCTCTGCGTGGTATTAAGTATAGTTTACAACAATGACCTCGGTTAGTATAATTAACATCAATCTGCAGTGAGACTCCATAAGAACAAGAAAATAACGAGATACCGAAGGTCGCCTCACGACAGTGCTGGCTTTTTCAACAAAATCAACTGACAAAAATCAAAGCATTTTTCGAAACTGCTTGTTAATCAATTCTCCTAAGAAAATTCTCATTATTCGCTGCGTGTGAACGAACACAAATATAATGGGTTTTGTTTGCCCGGATAATAAAAAGCATGTGCTAGAATATGGTAGCTCAAGAAAAATCAATTTGGGAGCAATAAAAAGCGCTAGGTTCTTAATTGATCCAATTTACGAAGAAAGTGACGGATAATTTTCACTGGGGATGAAGTTTTTTCAAACTAATTTCAAATTTTGAACAAGACTGCTCGTATCAGGGCGAAGCCCTGAATGTTCCGACTGCCTTTTAAGGTTTATGGAGCAGTAATAACATTTCACAATTCAATGAAATAAAATAAAAGAAATTTTTTTTTTCTAAAATGTGAAATTTTTTATGAAAATCATCCCCCCACACGCCATATAAAGCACAAAATGATAGATTTCGCTCTTTGTAACAAACCAATTATGGCAAATAAGCTTCTTTCAACCAATTTGGAACGATTTCAAAGACAGATTAAATCTCCGCTTACGCGTTAATAGCGCGATCTTTAAACCCCCATAACTTTAGAAAAAGTGATCAAAGCTGAAATATCTTATCAAATTTGATTTCAGGGCAACAATACCTTCCGAATAAATAAAAAAAATTCCGTCAAAAATGGCTAGTTAAAAAGTCGAGATTTGTCTGAAGAAAAAAAAACCCACCCGAGCACAAATATTCCGTTACTTTCGTATCGAAAATCGGAACAATAAGCAATTTGTGACAAAACTTTTTCAGATCATCTGAAAACTATTTCATGCGCAAACTTTTCGCGTAAAGCTTTGGGGGTTTTAAAAAAGCAATTTTGACCACTTTAGGATAGTTAAATTATGATATTCACTAGTTTTTTTTATAACGTGATCATCAATTTTTTGAGCAAAAATGAATCTAAGCTAAATTGAAGCAAACAAACTAATCCATATAAATTTCCAAAAATAATGCTTTCATATTGCTATACCAATGGGAGAACTCGGAAATTTGCTCTTTTATTGCGAATTCGATTTGTTTTTTGGTTTTTTAATTTTAACAAAATCCATTTTAACAAAATTGAATTAAGTCTAATAATTACTCTGTTTTCCTTGCTAACCTTAAATTTCTCTGCTAACTTTAGTTGGGAATTAACAAATATGACGTAGGGGTGTTTGCTATGAACGGAAGAAGATAATTCAAAACACTCAACTTAGATTACCCAGGGAAGGCTGTTAACTATCTAAAATCAATATTTCAGTTTCGTAATTTACCCGAAGTGCCAATTTTTTTTTTCAACTTTCAAACATGAAGCAAATTGAATAGCGTTAAGATTTTTGAACCTAGTGGAGTCAACGACCACTAGATTTGAACCACTAGAACTAAAAGTAATTGGCGGGAAAATCAAAAATGTAACAGTCTATTATCATAACACTATGTTTCTTCATACTAATCAAGCTGAAAAAAGAATTAGGTAACATTGGCGTTTCTGAATAAGCAAGCAGTTACAAAGTCATTTGATTTGACGAACCCGCTGCAAACAGAAGTTCAAAGTATCAACTACGTCAATCTCTTCAAAAATACAAATTGCTCTCTAGTTCCATTCGATGGCTGTAATTGAAATTGAGAGGTAAAAAGGAACCAATTCAAAGTTGAAGACACTTAAAGTTCTCATTAAACTGCGTAGAAACAAATTTTGATTTTTTTGTCTAATCACATTAGAAATCTTTGATTTTTTCGAATTAGTTCAAGTGATTGGTTCAACTTAAAAATGGCTCAAGTGATGTAATTAATGTTTTGTGCATTAGAAAAAAAATAGGTTAAAGATAAAAACACGCAGCAGAAGACGATAATTTAGAACACTCAACTTAGATTACTCAGGGAAGGCTGAATTAAAATTCATTTTTAAAACACTTATCCTCTCTATCTGCGTCATATCTTTTTTTATGCAAATCGTGACGCATCTTGGTCGTTATCTCATGATTGATTGTTTCAGCTCACAGCAACAAAGTTATCAAATTAAATTAAACCGGTCTTCTTGCTAACATACTGATATTATGTTAACAACTTACTAAGTTATGAGAAAATATGAATCATAATTCTTGCGATTATTTGTTTGTAGAGCCAGATGACATGGAAACTACAACTTTAGAGTAGCAAATGACTTTTAACGAACAACATTTTTGATAAAATTTTGACACAAGCTACAAACATTTTCAATGAGCAATCAGGATCAAAGTTTGAGAAATTTTGTTTCGACTGCGTAAAGTATCAACTACAACATAACTAGTTTTAGCGGTGTTCTTGCTGCAAAATTCTCGCAAACAACACAAACAGTTTGAATTTATGGGCTCAAATTACTTCTTTGGGAAGTTGAAGATCTTGATTTACTCTTTATCCAAAGGACAAACTTTTGAAAAAGTTAGTTTGCCCGGGTCATTAAACGGCTAAAAATTTATAAGTAATTTTGCGCTGATGCTCGAAGTAGGCCAACAAAAGAACAGTACCAGCAAAACTTTTGGAAAAATGACAGCTCCGATCCAAGCGCAGCATTATCATAATCAATGATGCCGTCTCTATATTTTGTCCAGTTTTTTGGTGTAATAGTTTAACTTTTAATGACTGTATTGTCTTAATAAATACAACCGTGTTTTGACACCGGAAATAAATCAAGCTCATCAGCCTCCAAGTGAATCAATTTGAGCACATAAAATTCAACTCTTGGTAATGTTTGCAGATGTTATCACTGCAAGAACACCTTCAAATTCAGTTATGACGCACAAGCTATTTTACATCTCATAGCTTTGCTGGTTCTAGCTCATACGAAAGGTTTCATCTAGCATGTGTCAAAGTTTCATCCATATATCTTCAATATTTGCAAAGAAAAATTCGAAACCACGAAAACAATTGTTCTATGGCTTGTTGAAATCCAAAAGCGCTAATTCTACGTCACGGATTTGTATGATTGAAAATATGGAGTATCAACTGTCTGGGAAAATAAAGCATGCAAAGCATGTGAGCTGGAAAGATATATAATTCAAAAGAGCACAATGCAATTGTATGTTGGATATAGTAGTAGTCCGTTCAAAATATTAGATTGTCTGTCTTTTCCTCAAAAACTTGTGGGCTTCTTTTTGTTCTGAAGAGATTCATTATAGATTGGTTTATTTTTATAGAATCGGCCCTAACAAAGTATCCCTTGCCATAAACTTTTTTAGACTAACTAAAGGGAATTGGGAACATTCTGGACTTTATTTTAAAATACGAGCTATTAAGTTTAATTACAATTTCTTTCTTTAAAAACTGCGATTTGCGATAACTATTTAAAATAGTTTTATTCAATACGTTTTTTTGCCAAATTGAGTTGGGCAATTGCTCATCTCCAGCGGAAATTAATATTGATTGATTCAGTCAGTATTTATGTCATAATTTTGATAGTTTTTTTATGTCAAATATTTCACGATTTTTTTGTTCCGACTTTCGATACGAAAGTAACGGAATATTTGTGCTCGGGGTGGGTTTTTTTTTCTTCAGACAAATTTCGACTTCTTAACTAGCCATTTTTGACGGAACTTTTTTATATCATTCGAAAGCTATTGTTGTCGTGAGCTCAAATTTGAAAAGATATTTTACCTGTGATCATTTTTCGTAAAGTTATGGGGGTTTAAAGATTGCCATTTTGGCCAATTTGGGATAATTAACTCGCGATATGTTTCGCGCTATTAACGCGTAAGCGGAGAGTTAATCCGTCTTAAAATCGTTCCAAATTGGTTGAAAGAAGCTTATTTGCCATAATTGATTTGTTACAAGGAGCGAAATCTATCCTTTTGTACTTTATATGGTGGGTGGGGGATGATTTTTATTTAAAAAAATTTCAAATTTAAAAAAAAAAATTTCATTTTGTTTTTATTACATTTATTTTTTTGATGTCATTACTACTCCGTAAAACCTTAAAAGGCAGTCGGAACATTCAGGGCTTCGCCCTGATACGAGCAGTCTTGTTTCACTTTACTTTTATTTCAGAACGAAACTTCGGCCGTAACTAGTTATTTTCCCGCCCCATCAGATAAACCAAATATCAGCATCTAACAAGCTTTAGTCTTTATTTTTTCAATCGTTGGATGAAAAATTTTATTCCAGATTGGCCAAAATTTTCGACTTAGAACGAAGTAAACATCGTAATATATTTCGACGCAAAGTTTTGCAAGTTTTATCCAATATAAGTGCTGGGCTGGAGAATCTTTATTTTGTCTTTTTGTCTATCTGCAAAAGGGAGAAAGAGAAGGTGATGATGTTATTTTTAACCCAACTTTCCCTGAGCAATGACATCTTTCGGAAAACAAAAAAGCTACTTGTATTTTTACAAAGAAAAAAAAACAATTGTTGTTTCAATTTGAGTATCGTACAAATTATTGAGCATTTGATAGATACACCACCAAATAATAGCATCTAATACGGGTGAGTTTTTCAAGAGTTGCATGTAAAATTTTGATTTAGATTGGCCGAAATTTTTGACTTAGAATCAAGTAAACATCCTCCTAAAGCAGTTCGGCGCAGAACTTTGCAAGTTTAATCCTAATTAAATGCTAGGGTAAAGGATTTTATTTTGTCTATCCGAAAAAGGGATGGAGAGGGGGATGATATTAACTTATTCCAAGTTTCCCGGAGCAAAGAAAACTTTTAGAATTAAAGGTACTTGTTACTTTTATTTTTTTACAAAAGAAAGAAAACAATTGTTGTTTCAATAAATATATCATAAAAACTATCAAGCATTTGGCAGATAAAACGATTTAGTCAAACAGAAAATTTTTCCGCAGAAAAAAAGCAAAATTATAATTCGTATATTTCAAGAAATGAAAAAAAATATCCAAAAACTTTTGAATAGCTATTATAAAGATTATTCGAGCATTAAAGCAAATTGTACTAAAAACAATTTATACATAAGGGCAAAACCCTAAAATTACAAATGCGCTTTAATTGATTTCCATTAATGTTAGGCATAGGTTTTGATATAGTTTTGATATAGGTATAGGCAGGGGCGGATTTAGGGGGGGGGCGGGGGGGGGGGGGGGGGGGGCGGACGCCTCCTCTCAGGGATTTGACCCCCTGCCGTCCCAAAAGGTCCCCCCTTTGATACGTTTTCATAAATCCATTTTTGGCCGACCGACCCTAAAATTTTTCTAAAGGCGCCTTAGGCGCCAATATATACTAACTTTGAGGGGGAGCGCGCGCCAAAAAAACGCGCGCGTCAAAATTTTTCAAAAAAGGCCCAAAAACGGCTTTTTTGACTGTTTTTTTTTCACAAATTTGCTTGCGACGCAAAAATTTAGCCAAAATAGGGGCAAAAAAGTGCTTTGGGAGAGCTCGAAAATTCAATTTGATCGACCTAAAAAAATTTTTTTTTGAAAATCAGCCCCCCCCCTCGAGAAAATCCTAGATCCGCCCCTGGGTATAGGTCATACCACCTAATGCATATACATTCTTCACTTTCTTTGAAAGCTGGAGCAAAATATTTTTTTTTCAAAATAAATCTATGGTTCAAAATTTATGACCAATGAATTCGGAGTTTTAAAAAAATTAGATTTCTATTGTACAATTTTTTTTGTTTTGTAAAAGTAGAATGATTGCGAGCAGTTGAAAATTAGAAACCATCTTTTCAGTCAGACTGGACTATTATCAAAAATAATTTCTCATGCTCACACTAAACAAGAACCTTTAGATATATGTGATAATGGGATAAAAAAATCGTTTTTTTTATGTTTGTAAATTATAGTTTAAAGCTTCAAATAAAAAAAACAAACTAAGTCAGAGATTGTTTAAGAGGAAAAAAATAACTTATTACATATCTTACAGTAGACAGAGAAAAATTTTTAATTGACTTATTTTTAAAAACTAACGCGATTGTTTGAAGATATTTCATGGACTGCAACTTTCGCCATGAAACTATTCAAGCGGCGTGCAAAACTATGTTAAGATATCTTATAAAATACTATCGTTTTCATATATTGATATTTTACCTTCCAAATTGAAAAGTCATCTCGTCGCTATCTTCTAAACTGTCTGTGGTTCTTCAAAAATTGTCTTTCTTCCGTCGGCTCGAGAGGTTTCGAATTCGTAACGGCTGTAAAAAGGAATTAGATAATTTTCTTTTTTTTTTCAGTTATAAATCACAAATATTAAGAGTACAAATGGATAAAAGCCAAGTTTTAAATGAACAAAACGACAAAAGGACACAATCTGAGCCTTTGTGTTTTGGTTGGGAAACTTTTTG